CAAACAGTTCCGACAGCTCGGCCCGGAACAATGCAGCAACCTCATCATGCAGGATCTCACGAATCCTCGCATCCAAATCGCCTGTGCGCATCTCACCAACAACCTCGGGCGGTACGGTCCCGCCCGGAACTCCCTCTCCTGCTCCCGATCCTGACCCAGATCCACTCCCAGCATGCCTTGAAATCTCCATACTGAAAATAAACCACCAAAATCTCAGACACTTCCCACTATCCCGGGAACCAACTCTCAACCCAACCCTAGAGGGCATGGTTTCCCTGATACGTATGGGTCATGTTCTTTCAATAGTACGGGCCCATACTACCTTCCACACCTCCCCATATTTCTATGTAGTACTACCACAACACCCTAGTGAAAACATACATAACAACGCTCTATCCTCACTACTAGAGGAACACTAGAAATCTCTCACAAGGAAACCCTAGGTTAACAGGCATCATAAATCACGCAACACATCATGAAATCCTGAAGATCCCTAGCCTAACACTAGCATGTTGTTCTATTAATGCTCAATAAAACAAACATCATGTATGGTATTTTGGGGTTACTTACTAGCTCCGGCTGATCGTACCTCCGCGTCCTCCTTTACTTATTTTGAAAACCATTTTAAATTCTTTTTTGAAAACCCTCCTCGATTTGAGACTGGAGTCACACAAGTGTTCCTCCAATTCACTCAAACCAAGGCTCTGATACCAACTTGTAACGACCAAAATTTAAACATTTCAAAAACATGCCAATTCATTAAGTTATTACAAAAAGGTTTTCAATACATTTATTATCAGAGCATTCCCAGGTCCATATCATAAAACATAAACACGAGGAGCGGTACGATCACGCCTTCGCCTTGCCACAGTCTCCTGAAGAACCTGAAAAACATTAAACCACAACTGTAAGCCCGAAAGCTTAGTGAGATACCCCCAAAATACCAACCACATATACCATACACAAAACATGCTATATCATAACGAATCGCAGAACAGCTATGCATATCGGGTCTACTGTGGGACTGGTCCGCCGTGTCGGGCCTTCAGTCCACCTGGTCCACCCTCCGAGTCCGGTCATATCCCTCGAGTCTGTAGTGTGTTTGGTCCGCCCGCGCTAGGCCTTCAACCCACCTGATCCACTCTTCGAGCCTCGGCACGTCTGGTCCGCCCTCGCGGGACCTACAGCTTATCCGGACCGCTCGCTGGGCCTTCGGAACAACCGGTCCGCCCTGGGTATCTTGGCCTACAGCACAAAGAAGGACCCGCCTCAACCCAACTCCAGTCCAAACAACCATTTGCACATAACATACAATCATATAACAGTTCATAGTCCACAAACCGATCAAACATATCACATAACATATCATTACCCTAACCGGGATACTGACCTAACCGGTCGCTAGCATAGCATCACTCCACATATCGGGAAATCGACCTTAACCAGGTCTCTAGCATATACCATCCTAGCTACCAGGATGCAGACATATCAAAGCAATAACATAACAACCATATCCGAATCTCAATCCAATAAAGGGTCGGCCTTGGTGCCTTAGACCCTGTCGATATAGTGAGGATAACTCACCTCGCAACTGTTGACTGAAAGGATAAGATCACGTTACTACAACCTCCGAACTGAACTCCAACACTATCAATACCCAAAAGACTGAGTCCAATAAATACCAATAATTACCAAATTACCCCTGGAAGTCAACTGGTCAACCCTTGGTCAAAGTCAAAGTCAAAGTCTACCCCTGACTGACTCTACTCGTCGAGTCAACCCGATGACTCGATGAGTCCCCATACACAGAACCTCCTTCAATTCGCGACTTAACTCGCCGAGTCATCCCTTGACTCACCGAGTCACAGCCTTCCCAAAAGAAACTTGGACCCTACGACCAGACTCGTCGAATCCAAGAACAGACTCGCCGAGTCTACGACTATCTTCAACCTACTCGCCGAGTTGTTCTTCCAACTCGCCGAGTTCCAGGCCATCTTCATCCAACTCGCCGAGTCCACCCATGTGACTCGTCGAGTACCACCGAGTCTGAATCCATACAGAGGCTTTCCAAGCCATGCAGATGATCCAAACCATAGATCTACCCCTCCTAAGGCCATCCATCACGTAAAGTGGCAAACTTTACATGAATCCGAAGAGATCTAGACATTCTACCCTCTAGGGCTAGGGTTTGGGATATGATGGCTTCACCAATCACTCAAGAACAGGGACTTTAATGCACTTAAGACCTTCTCCACTCCAGATCTGAGGTAGCAACCACAGATCAATTCTTCAAACTCAAGATACCACAAGCTAAGCCTCCCATACATTCCAAGAATCATGAATCTAGAAGAATAACAGCCCAAGAACGAGATTATACCTCAAAAGGAAGCCCCAACAGCAATGAAATCTGAATCCAAGCAAAGCCCCTTGTTCCAAGCCTCCTAACTCCCCAAGATCTTCCTTCAAATCTCTTTTCCAAGGTTCAAATGCACTCCAATCCTTCACACTCGCGTTTTATAGGGTTTTCTGGTCTCAAGGGAAGGTAATGAGACTAGGAAGAGGGCATAATGTCCTTTATATAGGGCTCATCCTCCGAAATTAGGGTTTTCTCCACTCATTACCAACTCATCGAGTCCAGCCGTCGACTCGCCGAGTTGGCCACTTAACACGCGACCAAAATCGCGACTATACTCGCCGAGTTCACCCATGGACTCGCCAAGTTGCCCTTCAAATTTACACTTTTATCCCTTCAACTCTACTCTTGATATTCCGGGATGTTACAAAGCAGCTTTCCGATTTCTTGTTTGGTCGTATTTGGAAACCAACCCGGAAGCTAATCAACTCCTGGTTTTTATTCATTCTCGGAAAGAAGCGAGATGTAGTGGGGGAAGGTTGAAGTACACCCCCAAATCACTATTTTACCAACTGTTCCTTCTTCTTTCCTCAAAGTCTGTCTATCGATAGCAAAAAAGAAGAAGAAAGCATACATTCCCACGAACGAACACTAGTCTCACACATCCAGATCTCTTCGGAGATTCCACCTATTTGATCGACTCGATTGTTGTTGCTGAATTTGAAGGAAGATTGATTCCTAAATTATGAGGAAAAGGTAGCCATGGTAGACCTTCAGGGTCACTTGCATTCGAACGCAAACCAAATGATCGAGTAGCGATTGGAGAAGCAATGAAGGTCATGACGTGTTTCTATGAAGATAAAATGGAATGGGGTAAACGAGTCGGGTGGATGTACGATTCAATTTTCCCCAATTTTCCAATTAGGGGGGAGAGAGAGAGAGAGAGAGAGAGAGAGAGAGAGAGAGAGAGATGGGTGGGCCCCCTTTATATTAGACAATTATATATATATATATATATATATATATATATATATATATAAGACAAAGTTTCATAAATGGTCATTGTCATAGTAAAATAACGAAAATACCCTTAAGTTAACGGCCAAAAGCTAACGGAGTTAGCGAAAAAAACCATTTGTTAAAAGTTTTGAAACCACGGGGACGATCCGTAAGGTTTTTTGAATTTAAAGATTAAACTTGATATTTTTAAAAACCACATGGACCATTTTTGAAGTTTTGTCTAATAAAAAAGTAAAATACGAAAAGGCATTTTAGTCATTTCATGCACACTTAACATGAGGGCATTGACGTTGTTAATGGATAGGGACTAATGATGAAATCTAAGCGTTAAAATAGGGACCTTTTTGACAACATTAAGGTAGTGTTTGTTTTTTGTCTGCAGATCTGCGAGACGTCTTCTGTCTGCGCCGCGCAGACATTAGTCTTCGCAGATTGTTTGTTTTTTTGAAGACTGCAGACCTAAAAATGTCTGCGCGCCCTCTTCTTGGCGCAGATGTGGACCAGAGTCTTCTAACATCTTCAGACATCTTCTAGCTTAAAAAAACATATATATCTTTATTTTTTTTAAGTTTTTTTTTTTTAATTTATATTTTTTCCAACTTTATTAATGATAAACAATATGAAAAAAAAATTACAAAACTTAAAAAAAAACATTTGACGATACACACATGATATTTTTAACAAATTTATAAATAAAAATTTATTATAATAATAATCGTTGAAGTTGTTTATATAAATATGAAAAAAAAAATCATAATATATTCTTATATTTTTTTGCCAAAATTTTGTAAAACTTTATTTAATAGAGTATCATCAATTTCTCGAGAAAATATTTATCGTACGTTTTTAATAGATTTATTTGAAAAAATCGAAGTTTATTTCCATCTATTTATGTATCAAATTCTTTGATCACTAATTATAATGTTTAGTTATAACTTTGCAATCAAAGTTGTTGGTTTTTATCAAATATGTATATGAATTAATACCATTTTTATTTTTATTTTTTATATAATAATACATAAAAGTTGATCTAGATTCGTTATATATTTATAATAAAGTCGTAAAGATATATAAAAAAATTCGCTTTGAAGTTTTAAAAAATCAGTTTATTTAGATTTCAGTTTATTTTAATAGCCCGCAGATGTTAAAAAAACAAATAGTCTTCTTTTTTCAGACTGCAGACGTTTGGTCCACCTCTTCTACTGCAGAGGTCTACAGATGTGGTCCGCAAACTGCAGACATTTTACTTCAGAAAAAACAAACAGCACCTAAGAAACTAGGACTAAAACTACATAATCATGTGTTTTAAATTTGTGAAGATATGTTCCCAAATTAAAAAAAAAAATTAATAATAAGTAAATTACCATTAAGGACCAATATGATTCTTTCTCAACAACAATAATTGTCATTGATTGGAAAGAGAATATGACTTCCATGTCGATAGGATAGATGACTTAATTTCAATGAGCGAATCCAACCAAAATTGGCCTTTCTTTAAATGATAAGGTATACTTTGAATTCCATGTCTTCTTCAACTTCCCTAGAACTAGAAGCCTCTACGTGCTAACAATACAAAGTCGACCCAGAATTTTGTGCAACGTTTAGAGGCAACTAAGCTTCCATTAAAATGGAAAATGTCGACGTAGAACTTGGAGAAGTAGACAATATCCGTGACACTGTCCATGTACTTCTTGGTTGTGTCCAAAAAGTGCAGAATGGTAAGGTGCAATTTTCACCCATTTACATGGCTCCAACTAGGCTCCGAAACCTCAGTCCCAATTCTTTCAATCCACGAGTGGTTTCTATTGGACCTCTGCACAAAGAAGATAAAAGCCTGCAAATAACTGAAGGAGAGAAATATACTTATCTGCATGATCTAGTGTCCCGTTTAGATTCCCCACCTGAGCAAACACTGAAAGCGTGTGCACAGAAGGTGAATGCTTCAATAGATCGAATCAGGGCATGTTACAACGGGATGAAGACCTATAGTGACGTCGACCTTTCCAAAATAATGGTTATGGATGGTTGTTTCATACTCGAATTCATATTCAAGCTTTTCCGATATGGCACATCAATTACCTACAACCTATTGTTTGTCAGGTCTGTTGCTCTAGACCTCGTGTTGATAGAAAATCAGATGCCTTTCTTTGTTCTTCAAGACATATTTGAGTGCACTATTTTGAAAATGGATCCAGAAGCCTCCCTTACAACTATGCTTAGTTATTTACTAGAATACATCAATCCCTTTTCAGGGAATTTTAATATCGAAAATATTGGCCAAGAAACAACTCATGATCATATTCTAGGCCTTCTTCACAAACTTTACCTTCCTTCACATCCTAAGCCATCAAACGTTTCCTCACTTCCAATAGCCCACTCAGCTCTAGAACTATACAGGGCTGGAGTGAAATTTCAACCTAATAGAAATATGACATGGCCATTGGCCATGGACCTGAAATTCTGTACGTATTCAGTCTTTTCCTTGTTTGGGGCTAAGCCAAATCTCAGTATTCCAGTAATCTGTATAAACGATGTCACCGAGGTGGTTTTGAGGAACCTGATTGTATACGAGCAGTACACTCCAGTTTATAATTACGTGACCTCATATGCCATGGCCATGAATATGCTTGTTGATACTCCGGTGGATATTTGCAAGTTGGTAGAATCGAAAGTTGTTATAAACCACTTAGGTTCAAATGAAAAGGCTGCGAAAATGATGAACACAATATGCAAAGAGGTTACTTTTCAAGATTTCTATTACACTGAACAGTGGGAAAACATGGATAGATACTACAACGGTTACTTTCCTAGAAATCTGGCTAAGTTGAAGAGGTACTATTTCAGTGGTCCATGGCATGCGGTTGTCGTAGTTGGTGGAATTCTGATGTTTGCTATTACTGTGGTTCAAACCATCTTTACTATCAAACCTATTTGATCCCATATTTGCTTTGGAGCAGAGACAACCACCAAGTACTATAGTTGTTTACACTTTGGTATTCTTTGTACGTTTCTTTATCCTTTAATTAATTACGAATTGTTCAAACAATTCCCTAATACCTATCATGGTCCTTGCCGATAGGATCAGCCAATAATACTAAGAAAAAGTCGATATATCATATAGGGGTAAGCATAATAACCGAAAAAACCAACCAAAACCAAATTAACTGATATAACCGAACCATATAACCTAACCATTTTAAAAACCACTAGTTTGGTTTCTAATTTTTGTTAACCGGTAACTAACCGTTCAGTTATGATTTTATAGGTTAACCGAAATTAAATTTTCAAAATATAATTCATTAATCATCACTTATCAGGAGACGCACGTGTAATGAAACCATCAAAGGCTGATCACGTAGACACACACAATCTTCAAATCATGCATTGAGTTAGATTATTAATTAATGTTGTAATTCCTAATAGGATAATTCTACAATTTGTAAATATTATTCACAATTAGTTTAATCTTCACACTCACTAATCGGAGGCTTCTCACATCGTTAATCCTAATCAAATATTGTTTTGACTTTACACTCATATTCAAAGGATTTTTTGACTTTATAATCAAGGCTTTTAGGTAAGTTTAGTTTTTAGTTCTTCTTGACTTTATGATATATTAAGAATGTATTTTTTTTAATGTTTTAGCTTTTTTATTTATTGTTTTTGACTTAATCATATTGAATGTATATGAGTGATTGGATTTTTTAATCCAGATAACATCTAATATCAATGTCTAACTATTTTATTTAATAGTTTTAGATTTAATCGCATTGAACTGTATGCATGTTTGGCTTTATTATAATGTTAATATCAATTATCAATATATGAAATTATTAATGTCAATTTTTTAATGTTTTATATTTTTATTGAATGTTTTTTATTTTGAATGTGACTATGTGTTATCTTACTTTGAGTATCAAATGTATACATTTTATTCTATTATTATAAGCTAGGTTACAAACATTATCGCTGAGGAATTTTTTGTATTCTCTTTTCATTTTTATTTCAATATACCTTTGTCATTTATATTGTTTTGAACATTACGGTTAACCAATTTTAACCATTAACCAAAACCGTTATCCGAAAAAACTATTAACCATAATCAATATTAACCATATCCAATGGTTACCAAAATGCATTAACCAATCATAATGGTTATGGTTCGGTTTTGACCAATAACCGAACCAAACCGCCTCGTACACACCCATAATATCATAGATTTATTTCATTAAAGTACTATCTAGGTTTGGAGCTGGTTTTTATTATTTTTTTTTCCACTAAAACTCGTGTTTCTTCCTTGAGAAAAGTCTCATGGCAAAAATTCTTCAGGACGTTAATAGACTTAATATGACTCTCACAAAAAATAGAAAGAAAGTTATGTTTCTTTATATAAAAACTATATAGTAGCGATAACCATTATTAAATATAGTATTGATTATATTCCAAGACCCTAAATCTCCGTTAAAGTCGCAATTTATTGAGTCAATTTATAGTTTAATCTCAACTTTTAATTTTTAAACAAAAAAATTCTAATTATTTTATATTTTTTCAAAATTAACAAAACTTTTCTTTTCTTTTTTTTCAACAAAAAATGACAGATTATCATATAAACTTAGAAAAGCGGAACTTTTCTATTAAAAAAATAAATGTTAGGATTAAACCACTGATCCAAATGGGGACCTTATCGGAGATTTTCTATTCTTAGAATATAGGGATTGTTTGTTATTTTTGTAAACCAATTGTATTATAAATATAATGAGAACACAATACACCTATGGAGGTGAATTTCATAAACCTTATATGGTATCATGCAGATTAGATCCGGGTCCCCTACCTTTTTCATCATCATGACCACCAACGGTAGCTCATCTTCTTCTTCATCTGATTCTTTACTTTTTCTTGCAACTATACTTAATATGATTAGTGTTAAACTCTCTCTTACCAACTGTCTACTATGGCGGAACCAGATGCTTCCCCTTCGTGTATATCAGAAGTTGATTGGCCATGTTACGAACGCCATTGTCGCCCCACCCAAAACCAAAGATGTTTCATGTACTTCTTCTCAAAAAATAGTTCGAATCATATTTGCATCCCTATCTCATCATTATCTTATTATTCAGACATCTTTATTAGAGACTGTCGTTTGTGGTTGAAACACTAGACCTAACCATTTCTCATGAGGTTTGGAAATCACTTGAAACCGAACTTATCGTCATGATTAACAGGAACAAATACAAACTCTAAAAGATACTCTTCGACATCTCAAGAAGGGTTCCTCTACTGTCTCTGAATAAGGTACTAAATACAAAGCTACCTGATATAGCTTGCTACTACTGGTCACCAAGTTAATGACATCGATAAGATTCACTGGTTTCATTGTGGACTTGGTTCTTGTTTTGAGACACCACTCCACCTGTTATTTGTTTCACTACTCAATGCTGACATTCTTCATGTACTTCTTTGATGGGATTTATTGCACTCTATACATACTACTTTGTGCAGCTAAAAACTAATTAAACCATATGTGTCCACGCATCCTATGGATCTAGGTTTTAGTATTATAGCAATCTACTTTAAAACTAGAAAAATACTAGCATGTTGATCTTGTTGGTTTCTTCATTTAGATCTCGTGACAACCACTGTTTTAAGGATGATGAGGACCCAAACCATGAATCTCTCTTTTGCTTCACACCCAAGACACTAACTAGCAAGAAAGAAATTTAGGAGATAATAGGATTTCTCGAAAATCACAATAACCCTATGAGGGTTACTATTTTCTAAATATAGAAAGAGGGGAGAGTTGGACAGATATCGAAGAGACAAGGAGTGTTAGGGTTTGACCCATATGATCCTATTTATAATCTCCAACTTAATTTAAATTCCTAAGGATAATTTATATCCTTATTCGAAATCATCTGATATCTTTATCTAGAGAGTTAAAGAATATTCTAATTAACTACTTATGAATTAATTAATATTCAACCCATTTAATTAATTAAAACTATTTAATTCATTCCAAAAATAATTTCCAATTAATTTATTAATTCATAATAATTAACAAACCTATTTTCTACTAATTCCTTATTGCTTAATTGGGTCATGGGGGCAACTCAAAAGGACCCTGCTATTATTAGAAATATTATCAATTAGTTAATGACCATGGATACTCATTCCAATAGTCATGATTGCTATCGCAAGCTTTATGATATCTCATATATCTACGGACAATCTACTAATGCTCATGACAATATTAAATCATTGCCTACTTCGAAGAGCATGACCAATTGTGGATGTTTCAATAAATAAATATTCAGGAAATAGGCTCCAAACATGCAAAAGAGAAACACAAATATAAATGAAAATGAAAATGGTATCATCAACAACTTTCTATTAAGTCACTATAAAATAAACACAAAATTAGGCCTCGATGATAATCAAACTATTAACTAAAAATTTAAACCATATCACTAGCAAATCTCATGCGTCGACCTAGTACGATCGTCATCCTTGGGGCTCGATAATGGCTTCGTGAAGGGATCAACTGGATTATCCACCGATGATGCTATATTCATGAAAATGACTCCATCCTCAACCCAACATAGTGGTATTTCCAAAGTACATGTCTTGACTTCCAAGGTCCTTAGGTTCTTTAGTTAATATGACTACACCCTCATTATCACATAATATTTCCATAAGATCCTTGATCATAGGCACACCACCAAGATCATTGATGAAGCTCTTTAACCATGTTGCCTCTTTTGATGTTTCACTAGTTGAAAAATACTCGGATTCGCATGTGGAGTCTACCACCTTCTTTTGCTTGGAACTTTTCTACATTACCACTCTTCCATTTATCAGGAACACCCTTCTTGAATGTGAGCAAGAGTTATCCCTATTAGTTTGGAAACTCACATCATAGTAACTTGTTACTCCAAATTCTTATTTTCCTCCATATACTAAGAAAATATCCTTTGTTCTTCTCAGATACTTAAGGATTTTCTTTACTACTGTTAAATGGCTATCGCTAGGGTTGTTCTGATATAGAATCACTATTCTCAAGGCATATGAGATATCAGGTAAGTACATGCCATGGAATATATGATCAATCTTATAACAGAAGCATATGGAATTCAACTTATTGTTTCCAGCTTATCATTAGTACTTGGAGATTAATCGTTACCCAATATTATGCCATGTTACACAGGTAGAAACCCTTTCTTGGAATCTTACATATTGAACATCTTTAATAGCTTATCCAAGTATGTACTTTGGCTAAGTACTATTAGACATTCACCTCCTAGGTCCTTTATAGATAACATTTCCCATTCCAAGTATTCACACTTTACAACATTGGGATATTAATTCTTATAAGGAGTATATCATCGACATACTAAACTAGAAAGACTATAGTACTCTTACTATTTTTTACATACACACAAGACTCATCTTCACTTCTAGAAAATCCAAACTTTTTGATCTTTTCATGAAAACAAAGATTCTAATTACAAGATGCTTGTTTGAGTCCATAGATGGACCTTTCAAGCTTACAAACTCTATTCGGGTATTTAGGATCTATGAAACCCTTATGGTGTGATGTATACACATCCTTTATGAGTTTTCCATTAGGGAAAGTGGTTTTCACATCTATTTTTCATAATTTATAATCATAGAAGGGATCTATGGAAACTAATTTCCTAATAGACTTTATCTTATTTATCGGTGATAAGGTTTCCTCATAATCAATTCCTTGACTTTGAGTGTAAGCCTTAGCCATCAATCTATCCTTAAACATGTGCACCCTCTCATCCATGTTGGTCTTCTTCTCTAAGATCTACTTACACCTAACGGTTTTAAGGTCATCTATAAGATTAACTAAATTCCAAACTTGCTTATCATCGATGGACTAAATCTCGCTCTACATGCTCTATTTCCGTT